TTCCGGGTAGCTGGCTGATTGACAACATTTCATTTCACACGTAAATTAACCGTAATTATCGGAAATTACAAGTCAACAAAGAATCATGAACTGCCATAAATTTTGGTATTTAAAAGCAGAATTCAATGTCATAAAAAACGCAAAATGAAAACTTTAAAAAGTCGTCAACTTTAAAAATGGCGCATGAAAAAATTTCAGTTTTCGTCTTTTCTCACACGTTGTTCTTCGTTCACCAGAAAACTCATTAGTTACGGCCTTGGTTTTTCTCGCTATGAATTCTAGCGAGAACATCCTCACCCCCCAACAGAAAGAGAAGAGGTGAGAGCTCCAAGGTTAGCCGGGTCAGCTCTCAAATCCAGGAACTGCTCCTGTCCGGGTCGGCGGACCATATTTCTGCCTCATTTTGGTTCTGAGGCAGATCGGTTTTGCGTAGCTGGCTGATTGACAACATTTCATTTCACACGTAAATTAACCGTAATTATCGGAAATTTCAAGTCAACAAAGAATAATGAACTGCAATAAATTTCGACGTTTAAAAGCAGAATTCAATGTCATAAAATACGCAAAATGAAAACATTAAAAAATCAACTTTAAAAATGGCGCATGAAAAAATTTCAGTTTTCGTCTTTTCTCACACGTTGTTCTTCGTTCACCAGAAAACTCATTAGTTACGGCCTTGGTTTTTCTCGCTATGAATTCTAGCTAGAACATCCTCGCCCTCCACCCCAACAGAAAGAGAAGAGGTGAGAGCTCCAAAGTTAGCCGGGTCAGCTCTCAAATCCAGGAACTGCTCCTGTCCGGGTCGGCGGACCATATTTCTGCCTCGTTTCGGTTCTGAGGAAGATCGGTTCCGGGTAGCTGGCTGATTGACAACCTTTCATTTCACACGTAAGTTAACCGTAATTATCGGAAATTACAAGTCAACAAAGAATCATGAACTGCCATAATTTTCGGTATTTAAAAGCAGAATTCAATGTCATAAAAAACGCAAAATGAAAACTTTAAAAAGTCAACTTTAAAAATGGCGCATGAAAAAATTTCAGTTTTCGTCTTTTCTCACACGTTGTTCTTCGTTCACCAGAAAACTCATTAGTTACGGCCTTGGTTTTTCTCGCTATGAATTCTAGCGAGAACATCCTCACCCCCAACAGAAAGAGAAGAGGTGAGAGCTCCAAGGTTAGCCGGGTCAGCTCTCAAATCCAGGAACTGCTCCTGTTCGGGTCGGCGGACCATATTTCTGCCTCGTTTCGGTTCTGAGGCAGATCGGTTTCGGGTAGCTGGCTGATTGACAACATTTCATTTCACACGTAAATTAACCGTAATTATCGGAAATTACAAGTCAACAAAGAATAACGAACTGCCATAAATTTCGGTATTTAAAAGCAGAATTCAATGTCATAAAATACGCAAAATGAAAACATTAAAAAGTCAACTTTAAAAATGGCGCATGAACAACTTTCAGTTTTCGTCTTCTCTCACACACTGTTCTTCGTTCACCAGAAAACTCATTAGTTACGGCCTTGGTTTTTCTCGTTATGAATTCTAGCGAGAACATCCTCGCCCCCCCCCCCCAACAGAAAGAGAAGAGGTGAGAGCTCCAAGGTTAGCCGGGTCAGCTCTCAAATCCAGGAAGTGCTCCTATCCGGGTCGACGGACCATATTTCTGCCTCGTTTCGGTTCTGAGGCAGATCGGTTTCGGGTAGCTGGCTGATTGACAACATTTCTTTTCACACGTAAATTAACCGTAATTATCGGAAATTACAAGTCAACAAAGAATCATGAACTGCCATAAATTTCGGTATTTAAAAGCAGAATTCAATGTAAAAAAAAACGCAAAATGAAAACTTTAAAAAGTCAATTTTAAAAATGGCGCATGAAAAACTTTCGGTTTAGTCTTTTCTCACACGTTGTTCTTTGTTCACCAGAAAACTCATTAGTTACGGCCTTGGTTTTTCTCGCTATGAATTCTAGCGAGAACATCCTCCCCCCCCCACCCAACAGAAAGAGAAGAGGTGAGAGCTCCAAGGTTAGCCAGGTCAGCTCTCAAATCCAGGAACTGATCCTGTCCGGGTCGGCGGACCATATTTCTGCCTCGTTTCGGTTCTGAGGCAGATCGGTTTCGAGTAGCTGGCTGATTGACAACATTTCATTTTAGACATAAATTAACCGTAATTATTGGAAATTACAAGTCAACAAAAAATAACGAACTGCCATAAATTTCGGCATTTAAAAGCAGAATTCAATGTCATAAAATACGCAAAATGAAAACATTGAAAAGTCAACTTCAAAAATGGCGCATGAATAACTTTCAGTTTTCTTCTTCTCTCACACACTGTTCTTCGTTAACCAAAAAACTCATTAGTTACGGCCTTGGTTTTTCTCGCTATGAATTCTAGCTAGAACATCCTCGCCCTCCACCCCAACAGAAAGAGAAGAGGTGAGAGCTCCAAAGTTAGCCGGGTCAGCTCTCAAATCCAGGAACTGCTCCTGTCCGGGTCGGCGCACCATATTTCTGCCTCATTTCGGTTCTGAAGCAGATCATCTTTGCGTAGCTGGCTGATTGACAACAATTCATTTCACAGGTAAATTAACCGTAATTATCGGAAATTACAAGTCAACAAAGAATAACGAACTGCCATAAATTTTGGTATTTAAAAGCAGAATTCACTGTCGAAAAATACGCAAAAAGAAAACATTAAAAAGTCAACTTTAAAAATGGCGCATGAATAACTTTCAGTTTTCTTCTTCTCTCACACAATGTTCTTCGTTAAACAAAAAACTCATTAGTTACGGCCTTGGTTTTTCTCGCTATGAATTCTAGCTAGAACATCCTCGCCCTCCACCCCAACAGAAAGAGAAGAGGTGAGAGCTCCAAGGTTAGCCGGGTCAGCTCTTAAATCCATGAACTGCTCCTGTCCGGGTCGGCGGACCATATTTCTGCCTCGTTTTGGTTCTGAGGCAGATCGGTTTCGGGTAGCTGGCTGATTGACAACATTTCATTTCACACGTAAATTAACCGTAATTATTGGGAATTTCAAGTCAACAAAGAATAATGAACTGCCATAAATTTCGCTGTTTAAAAGCAGAATTCAATGTCATAAAATACGCAAAATGAAAACATTAAAAAATCAACTTCAAAAATGGCGCATGAACAACTTTCAGTTTTTGTCTTCTCTCACACACTGTTCTTCGTTCACCAGAAGACTCATTAGTTACGGCCTTGGTTTTTCTCGCTATGAATTTTAGCTAGAACATCCTCGCCCTCCACCCCAACAGAAAGAGAAGAGGTGAGAGCTCCAAAGTTAGCCGCGTCAGCTCTCAAATCCAGGAACTGCTCCTGTCCGGGTCGGCGCACCAAATTTCTGCCTCGTTTCGGTTCTGAAGCAGATCAGTTTTGCGTAGCTGGCTGATTGACAACATTTCATTTCACACGTAAATTAACCGTAATTATCGGAAATTACAAGTCAACAAAGAATAACGAACTGCCATAAATTTGGTATTTAAAAGCAGAATTCACTGTCGAAAAATACGCAAAAAGAAAACATTAAAAAGTCAACTTTAAAAATCGCGCATGAACAACTTTCAGTTTTCGTCTTCTCTCACATACTGTTCTTCGTTCACCAGAAAACTCATTAGTTACGGCCTTGGTTTTTCTCGCTATGAATTCTAGCGAGAACATCCTCACCCCCCAACAGAAAGAGAAGAGATGAGAGCTCCAAGGTTAGCCGGGTCAGCTCTCAAATCCAGGAACTGCTCCTTTTCGGGTCGGCGGACCATATTTCTGCCTCGTTTCGGTTCTGAGGCAGATCGGTTTCGGGTAGCTGGCTGATTGACAACATTTCATTTCACACGTAAATTAACCGTAATTATCGGAAATTACAAGTCATCCAAGAATAACGAACTGCCATAAATTTCGGTATTTAAAAGCAGAATTCACTGTCGAAAAATACGCAAAAAGAAAACATTAAAAAGTCAACTTTAAAAATGGCGCATGAACAACTTTCAGTTTTCGTCTTCTCTCTCACACTGTTCTTCGTTCACCAGAAAACTCATTAGTTACGGCCTTGGTTTTTCTCGCTATGAATTCTAGCGAGAACATCCTCACCCCCCAACAGAAAGAGAAGAGGTGAGAGCTCCAAGGTTAGCCGGGTCAGCTCTCAAATCCAGGAACTGCTCCTGTTCGGGTCGGCGGACCATATTTCTGCCTCGTTTCGGTTCTGAGGCAGATCGGTTTCGGGTAGCTGGCTGATTGACAACATTTCATTTCACACGTAAATTAACCGTAATTATCGGAAATTACAAGTCATCAAAGAATAACGAACTGCCATAAATTTCGGTATATAAAGGCAGAATTTAATGTCATAAAATACGCAAAATGAAAACATTAAAAAGTCAACTTTAAAAATGGCGCATGATCAACTTTCAGTTTTCGTCTTCTCTCACACACTGTTCTTCGTTCACCAGAAAAATCATTAGTTACGGCCTTGGTTTTTCTCGCTATGAATTCTAGCGAGAATATCCTCGCCCCCCCCCCCAACAGAAAGAGAAGAGGTGAGAGCTCCAAGGTTAGCCGGGTCAGCTCTCAAATCCAGGAAGTGCTCCTATCCGGGTCGGCGGACCATATTTCTGCCTCGTTTCGGTTCTGAGGCAGATCGGTTTCGGGTAGCTGGCTGATTGACAACATTTCATTTCACACGTAAATTAACCGTAATTATCGGAAATTACAAGTCAACAAAGATTAATGAACTGCCATAAATTTCGGTATTTAAAAGCAGAATTCAATGTCATAAAATACGCAAAACGAAAACATTAAAAAGTCAACTTTAAAAATGGCGCATGAACAACTTTCAGTTTTCGTCTTCTCTCACACACTGTTCTTCGCTCACCAAAAAACTCATTAGTTACGGCCTTGGTTTTTCTCGCTATGAATTCTAGCGAGAACAACCTTCGTGTTTTTTTGAACTTTAGCGAGAGATTTCGAGGCGTTTTCTTCGTTTCAGTGGCTCAAATCATGGCGAGAACTTCTTTGCGTACGAGATAGACAGTCTGGAGTGTGGCATGGACCCCTCCGACCCCCAGCATAAACAGTACCTCGAACAATTCAAGGCCGACTTCAGATACAGCGTCGAGAGGTCAGTAGGAGAAGAAGAAGAATTTAGTTCTTCAATAATAAGAGATGACAACAAATTTAAGATATTTAAAAATTTAAGGAAATATATGCATCAACTTTTCAATAAACTGCACAAGTCGGAGCGGGTAGACGAAAGGCATAGATTATGCGCATTTGTGGTCTACCCCTTTGGCAGTGATGACGGTAACAACATAACTTGGAACAACAAAAAAAACTTGTTAAAAGGCTACTCGTAAAATTTAAGAAAAGCGACACCTCAGCAGGATTATCAATTAGAGTAAAACGCTACCTTGGTAAAAAGCGACCATTTGCTCCGCTGCGCTTATATTTTTGTCTTGTTTGTGAGTTTTCGTCTTACAATCAGTGATCGCTAGCAGAAACTAGGAGGCCATATTGCCCCATCTCACGTCAAGAATTGGAAACTCGTAAAACAAAATAATTTATCTTTGATGCTATTTTAACCCTTTAAAAACGTTTATTTTTAATTTTAAGTGTCGCCAATATTTTGGCGACTGTTTTGGTCATTACCTTCTAAAAACTAAGCAAACTGCAAATAACTGAAGAATAAACACCAGCCGAAAATCAATGGCAGATCATTTGGGTTGAGTACCACTGGTTTATGATAAACCAGTGGTACTCAACCCAAATGATCCGCCATTGACTTCAAGTTTTTACAAGTTTATCTAATAGTTTTTTTTTTGAAATTTCCAATGATTTTCTATAATGGGTGCTTAAAAACAGAAAGTATTTATCTGTTTTTCTTGGGCACAACGTGTAAGCAACATTGTAATTCACTTTCAAAATTATATTAATTAGATATTAATAACCTTTTTTGAATCTTTGCATTCCTTTGATTAGTTCTTGCAAGATTTTCATTCCAAGTTCACTCCCGTATGTTACAAAAGCTTAGAAATTAGATCTGAGCTTCTTAAAGTCTTGCCTATTTCAGATCTTGTGCAGACATAGTCCATTTTTCATTCAAAAATGGACATGTCTGAAACAGGACTGAGGCAGGTATGGATTTTGTCAAAAATGCAGACCTGCTCAAGGCCTGATTCAGGTTTTGAACATACATGTGTCAGATCTGGGTCATAGTTTTTATGTCCCAAAATATTCACCAAAAATAGATTTTAGTAGTTATCAAATAGACTAAAACAAGTATAAAAATTAATTTTGTCGTACCTAAAGCGATTTTTGTTCCCACTTTTGAAGAAATGCGGAATACTTTTTATCTTCGGGTGGTTTTTCGAGAGATCGATTTAGAATTTTCTCGAGAGGAGGAGCGGATTTTCAAAAAACAGACCAAAAAGCGTTTTATACTTGTACATCCGTTTTGAAAAATGTTGACAAAAAAATTGCAATCATTTACCGCGCGCACCCCCACCAAAATTAGTATATATTGGCACCAGAGGCGCTTTAGAACAAGTTTAAATTCAGTCAGCCAAAAGAGAGATCCCAAAATAGTACAAAGAGGGACATTTTGGGTTGGCATGGGGTCCAATCTTTGAGTCGAAGCCCAGCTTAATTCCGCCACCGGTTTTTCTATATTCAGTAAATTTTTGAGATCGAAACAATATTTTTACCAAAAACGTTTTGTACCGTTTAGAAGACTCCTTCAGTTCAAATGTAAAAGGGTTATTTACCTTTGATTTCTCCGGAACTCGCTGAGGGTTTGACAATTGCCAATTTGGTCATCCTCTGGAAAAGTTAATGCGCCTTGTAAATATTCTGTTTATGATGCTGAAAGCGTAACGCGACCTATGTTTGTATGCATTACAAAATTGTTTCATTCGATTTGAGGCGAGCTAGTCGAACGCGCTATTACCCAAAATTTCGAACTCAATGTTTAATATTCTCAAATATTGTGCTTTTTTAATGTTCTATCCGATACAGACTAAAGGGCAGTCGAAACATCCAGGGCTTTGTTTCGATACACGAGCAGGCTTGTTTGGCGTTTTAAAATTTGTCTTTTTCACAAATATATATGTTACTTGCGCTAATCGGTTGCAAACTTGTCGATGCAGGTTTGTCGGCGCAAGGTTTTGTCGAGTGGAGGTGCTGACGCTTTCTCCCTTAGGGATTCGACCCCTCACCAAACAAAGGTTCCACTTTGGTATTATTTTCAGACATCCATTTCCGGCTGACCCACACTTTTCTTAAGCCGCCTCTGGCGCCAAAACACTAATTTTGAAGGGTAGCGCGCGCCGAAAAACGCAAATTTTTCACCTGTTTTTTTTTCTTCAAAATTTTGATTGAGGCACTAAGTTTCTTGTCAAAATAGGGTTTTTTAAATGTGTTCTGGGAGCGCTAGGAAAATCAATTTGGTCGATCTAAAAAAAACCGACAAATATTTTGAAAGTTTTCGTAAAGTTACCTCGAGAAAATCCCCTCGAGAAATTCCCTGAGTTATAAAATTAATGTTTGGGCCTTAAATCTATAGTCTGGACATTTTATGCCTCTGGCACAACAACCGCCCGCACCGAGCGCCCATGGATAATGATCGATTATATTGTCATAATATGGTCAGCATCTATAAAATGACAAAATAATCGATTATAATCCATCAAAAATTTGCAAAAATAATCGAATTTACTTCTAAAAATGAAATGGATTATAATCAAATATAATGGATTATAATGGATTTTCATTTCAAAATAATCGATTATAATGGATTATCTTGGCAAAAATAATCGATTTCAGTGACAAAAATAATGGATTTTAATCGATTATAATGGATTATAATGGATTATATTTGTTCAAAAATAATCGATTATAATGGCTATATAATCGATTTCGTGGTCTGAATTTTACATCCGTAATGGATTAATTTCGATTATTTTTGTCTCGTGAATCCATTATAATCGATTAGAATCCATGGGCGCTCGGTGCGGGCGGCAACCGTTATCATGATTTTTGTCGTGGTAGTTAACCACAGATTTGTAGCAAGATGGGGCAATTTATCGAAGGCTACATTTATTAAGCATACTCTATTTTAGCATGATCAACAAGCACGTAGAGGCAAACCGAAAACACAAAAAAGCCTTCGAGAGAAATCCCGTATTGAAAGAAGTTGTGCAGCACGCTCATTTCTGCAACAATTGCTTTAGACTATATTTTCCTCGCCCCGACGTCGAAAAGAAAGTCTTCGAGGCACTTAAAAACTCCGCCAACAACGTTCCCATTGTCATTTACGGCGACAGCGGATCCGGAAAAACGTCTATAGTTTCATCTGTCATTAGGACGATGCGGGAAAATTTCAACTACAAAGCTATTTGTATTTATCGGTTTCTTGGAACGACAGCGGAAACTGCACAGATAAGCACTGTTTTGAAATCCATCATGTGTCAGATCCGAGACTTGTTTCGGATTCCAGTCGTTCGAATTCCGGAGCAAGCGCTGGATGATTTTGCTTGGCTGTCTGAGAATTTTGGAAACATTTTGGACGAAGTTTCGAGAAAAATTAGCCAGGATTTGGTAATCATTTTTGACTCCGTGGATCAACTGTCTTCGATTGACGGGGCTCACAAGTTCATTTGGCTGCCCAAAGTTCTGCTACAGAGAGTGCAAATAATTTTGGCGGTCGACCGGAAAGAAATCAACGGTTGTTTTGAAACGTTGTCTCTGAGTTTGAACCGCATGGAAAACAAGGAAAATTTCATTTTCGTGAGTAAATTTCAAATACCAAAAAAGCTGTTCACGCTAGTTTGAAAATAATCAACAAAAGTTAAGACTATGTGATTGGCTCATGTTGGCATTAGTTGCAAAAACATCATTGATAAATTATTAGCTTGAAGATTCTGAAAGTCTGAAAGTCACCTTTTTTGTCGCAAATTTGAACCCCTTCGTTTTCATAATTTCAACTTTTGGCCTAATTGTATTAACGGTTGTCTTAGTGTTTATTGTCTTTTTTGTGATACAAATTCTTGAATACATTTCATTTCATCATTTTACAATTTTTGCCCTAGTTTTGTTAGTTTTATCTTATTCGCTGTTATATTAAGGATAATTTCGCAGTTCCCTCTTTCCTATTTGTGAACTGTGGTTTTCCCTAGGTTCCTCCTATGTCGATGGAACTGGGCGAAAAGATCATAGAGACTCGGCTGCAGGCTGCTTCGAGGAAACTGCAAACGGAGCAGCAGAAGTACCTCCTCGACTCGTTCAAGGCAAGTGCATATTCAGGTAGAGAGTTAAAACGTGTATTTTCCATGCAGAGATTCCATCCCCGGAGACCCCCCCCCCCCCAGAGATCCCACCCCTGAGACCAGAGAATCCACCTCCTGACAGCCCCCAAAGCATCCCCTCTTTGTATTATTTTACGGTATCTAGTTTCGGCTGACCAAACCTTAAATTTTGTCAACGAATCCATCTACTCCAATGTATACTATCCTTGAAATTCTGATGCGAAAACTGCTCTTTTTTGTCATACAATTTTGCGACATTTTTGCAGAAAACGGTTTTTTATGTTCCAAGAGAGGTCGGTAAATCAATGTCGTTGACCCAAAAGAAAGATATAGCAGAGTGAAAACCCAGTGTGTCATGAAATCATCAGTAATTACCGCGAGCTAAATGATTCCTTAACTTTACACCTGAACATAATCTTCATAAGACTACAGAAAAACGCATATTTAAGTCGCTATTTTCTCTCGGAGTATCTTGGGCGGCAATATTCATAGAGTCCGTTCAAAAGATTTACTGATTTACTAAATGTTCGATTTGAAAGTGATATATATTCACCTGAGACGCTTTTTTTCTCAATTTGGCCAGGTTTTTGCTTAGTGAGATGTTTTTTTTTCGTATCTGTCTGGAAGGATTCAGTGTAAAACTACCCATGGGGAAAATGGAAACCCCTAAAAAATGGAAACCCCTAAACGATATTTTTGATTACGTTGACGGTGAACCCATAATAGACATCCTTGATTGATTGATTCACCGGATAAAATTTCAATTAAAACTTTCTAACTTTCAAATCTTGAAGAACGATTCTTAAAAACTTACTGGTCTTGTAAAATCCACTTGTATACTCAGTATGACTTGATTTTTTCCCAACAATTAATACCTTTTGAATTCGTTATCGTCGTTGTAGAATATGGTCATGTTGAATACGGAAAAATAGTCTATGTAGCTCTGACCGTCTTCCGACCGCGCCTTTTTTACACCGCAGTGTTCTCTATTTATATGGTCTTATTTTATATCGGGGGCTCCGACGGAATATTACAATCTGTATATTTTACAAACTATTTACACTTTTACGACACGGGTACATTTCCTAGAGGAGTGTATTTTCTATTTACAAGATGTACATGTTGTATCCTTTAAATTGGAGGTTGTGATTTTTTATCGATCCACTAATTTTAATATTTTTTTCCAGGTCGACTTTTTTGCGATGACCGCTAGAGGAGTTAGATCACTCATAGTCTATATCACTCTAGTCTTACCCAGGAACTGTTGGGTGGTTTGTGTGGTTTTGTCGATTTTGTTAAGTTTTCTTACGTTAGATTAGTCATTGTTTGACTGCACCAGGATAAATACTCCTTTGTAACAGTTAATGCCACCTTTTACAAAAAAAATAAAAAAAGAATTGATGACTTACTCACAAAGTTAAAACCTTGAAAAATGATCAAAACGTTCGCTCCGATAGAACGAATGAAACATCATAGGCAAATGGGATACAACCTGATTGACACTGGCAATACGTTTTGGTTGATTAAGATTCCAATTTCAGATCGTAGTTTAGTTGTTTCTTTTTAACTGATTTCTTTTTGATTTTTGAGTTTTGAGTCTTTCAGTTTACTAATTTGGCGGCATATTCATGTCGAAAAAGTGGTAAAATTAGGTTTGGCAAAGAATAAAGTTCAAATGTCGTAGACATAGCCGGGCCCATTTGCAGGTTGCAAATTAGAAAATTGTTCGTTGAAGCTGATGGTACGTCGTCGTTGATTGTAATGGTCATCTAGTTGTTAGCTGTCGTTGATCATGTTGGTCATCTAGTTGTTACTGTGGTCCAATACTCGCGAGAGTTTGACTGCTGGTCGGTGTAGAATCCCCCTGCTAGTTTTAATTTCGCAGGAGCGAACGATTCTGTCTGCACCTGGGAAAGTACGAAGTACCCGTCCCAGGGGCCAAAGACCTCGAGGCGTTAGGTCTTCCAGTATCCATACAAGGTCTCCTTGCTGAAGATTTTCCACTTGCTTTGTCCATTTCGTTCGGGTCGTCAAGGTTGGCAAGTAGTCTTTGAGGTATCTGTTCCAGAACTGTTGACTCAAGGCTTGAGCTTGTTTCCAAGTTCTCTTGTCCGTTGTGTGGCGAGGGAGAAACAATCCGGGAGGCAAATTGTTTGTTGGTCGTCCTAGTAGAAGGTGATTGGGTGTAAGGGGCTTGTCGTCGGTTGGGTCTGATGAGACGTGGGTTAGCGGGCGAGAATTCATCATAGCTTCAACCTCGCACGTGAAGGTTGACAGAGTTTTGTCGTCCAGTGTCCGTGTTCCAATGACTTTGTAGAAAGCAATCTTAAATGTTTTTATGAGGCGTTCCCATGATCCACCAAAGCGAGGAGCTGCAGGTGGGTTAAACTTCCAGGTTATTCCAAGTAATTGGCATTGATTGTTGAAGTCGTTGCTGTGTTGAATCTCAGAAACGCTTTCCTGTAATTCCTTGTCAGCTGCAACGAAGGCTTTTCCGTTGTCAGAGAAGATGATCCTGGGTTTACCGCGTCTAGCGATGAAACGGCGTATGGCTTGTAGAGTTCAGTTTGTGTCGATTTGCTGGCATATTTCTGAATGAAGTGCTCGAGTGACGAGGCAGGTGAAGACGAGAACGTATCGCTTACTGTATTCGTCGTTGTTCCGCGTGGCAAAGGGGCCAAAGAAGTCAATTCCTGTAGAGTAGAAGGGGTAACTGTTTTCCGATAAAGGGAGTCTTTGTAGGGGTAGATCTGCCATCAGAGGTTCACTGGTTCCTGTCGAAGGCGTCGGCAAGGTATGCATTGTCGAATAGTTTTCTTCAGATGCTTGCGTGATCGTATGATCTAAAAGTCCTGCTGAAGAATGCTTCGGGTGTGTTCCATTCCACAATGGGAATTTATTTCGTGTGTTTGCTTCATGAAGAGTTGTATTGGGTAGTTTTCTGCGTTCAGAATGACTGGATGTCGGCTGCAAAGTAGAAGCGGGGTTTTCTGTAGCCTTCTTTTGGCACGTAAGTATCCGTGATTGTCGATGAAGGGGCAAAGAGGTTGTAGAGGGCTGCGGGGTGGAATGACAGATTTCTTTGTCAGGCATGCTATTTCCTTGGGGAATGATTGATTCTGTGAGTGTTTAATGATCCATGCGGATCCTAAGGTGAGGTGTTGAAGTGAGAGGCTCTGGCGTGTCTTCCTTTTGATGTTTTCTGAGAAGAAAAGAACATATGAAGTAACTCTGAATGCTCTTGTCCAAGTGCTAAATCGGTTGAAGTCGATTACTGATGTTCGCGGTTGTGGGTCGTTGTCTGTCAGATGAATATCGGCTGTAGGTTGTGTTGGCGGGTGATTAGGCCAATCTGATAATGGTCTTAACAAGAAGTCTGGTCCTTTGATCCATCGTGAATCGGTAGTCATGTCACATGCTTTGTAACCACGTGTTCCGTCGTCTGCTGGGTTGTCTTTGCTGGGCACGTATCTCCAGTCCAGTGAAGATGTTGAGTCCATGGTGAAATTCAGGCGGTTGGCAATGAAGATCCGGTGTCGTTGATTCGGCGAGTTTATCCAATGAAGAACTGTTGTACTATCTGTCCATAGTGTCGTACTGTCGATTCGTATGTCATGTTGTTCTTTGATGAAACGAGACAGTTTAGCTCCGTTAGTGGTGGCTTGAAGGTCGAGATTTGGAATTGTCATTCTGCTGATGGGTGCTACTCGGGCTTTTCCAATGACGAACTTGAGTTCCGTTGTGTCGTCGTCGTATCTGATTCTGAGGTAAGCAACTGATGCTAAGGCAAGTTCGGAGGCGTCGCTGAATACACGGAGTTGGGTTTCCAGTATCTTCGTTTCTGGTCTGAAGTAAATCCTGGGCAGGCAGATGTCGTTGAATTGGCTTCGCTTGTCTATCCAATCGTTGAGGTCTGTTAAATGCTCCATGTTTAGAGGTTTGTCCCATTGAGGTCCATTACTCCAGGCAAGTTAAAGTGATTGTCGTAGTCGAATTGTCAGTGGCATCGTAATTCCAAGCCGGTCAAAGATTGAAGAAGCAAACTTCAATAGTTTGCGCTGCGTTAAGTCCTTCTTGTCAATGGCGTGAAACTTCTTTGCTTCCACAAGAAAGACGTCCGTGTCTGGTTTCCATTTCACTCCAAGAACTCGTTCGAGGGGTCGTTCCTTCTTGGTGAGGCTGTCGCTGTTTTCCAAGTGGTTCTCGTTGACTGTTGTGAGGAATTGTTGGGAGTTTGAGGTCCATTTTGTGAGGTTGAAACCTCCAAGGCTGAACATCTTTTGAAGGTCGTTCATTAACTGTGTCGCTTCCGTCGGTGTTGAAACGGCTTTGTATAGGTCGTCCATGTATATGTTGCGTTTTGTGATTTGTTGGCTGGATATTTGTCGGCATTGTCTTTCGCACATTGTCGAGTGGCGTAGCAGGCAACACATGGTGAGTAAGTAGCTCCGAAGATGTGGCGGGTGTATTGGAAGATTGCGGGTTGGCCCGTGTTGTCCTTCCACAGAAATCGCAAGTACGGCTGGTCCTCTGAGCTCACGAAGACCTGCATGAACATTGCTTCAATGTCGGCAGAAATAGCGATTTGGTCCTCGCGAAATGGCATAACGATTCCAGTAAGGTTTGTGAGGAGGTCTGGTCCAGTTAGTAGGTTGCTGTTGAGTGATACTCCTTTGTAGATGCTCGATGCATTAAGGACTCGGCGTACCTTGCCAGGTTTATTGATGTTTGTCACTGGATGATGAGGAAGGTACCATTTTCCTGTTGAGTCTTCATAGGAATCATCAACTTTGACTATGAAACCTTTATGCAAGTCGGTGTCGATGGTTTCCTGATATTTCTGTGCCATCTCGTTGTTTCTCTTCAGTCATTGGAGAAGGCTGTCGAGTTGCTTCTTGGCAAGCCATCTATTGTTTGGCAGTTGTTGTCCAGGTTTCCAAAGCATTCCAACTTCGTAGTGTCCATTAGGCAAGCGGGTTGTT